GGGACCTCACCCATAGGTGCTTAGGAGAGACCCACTCCTAGCGGTGCTTGGGGTTCAGTGAGGTGCTAGGGATCAAACCCAATATCTCCCTGTCCTGCATTCTCATTTTCAAAGAATATTTGCTAAGCATATAATTCTAGATTAACCTTTCTTCCTATCTTTGGAAAGCGTGTGTTCTGACTTCCATTGTTTATTTTAACAAGTCAGCTCTGAATTTAATTGTTGATTCAAATGGACTCTGCCTTTGTTGCTCTGGCAGTCTTAAAATTATGCTTGTCTTTGTCTTTGGTTTTTTCGGTTGTTTTTTAGCAGCCTGTTTTTATATGTTCATATATGTCATTCACAGTATTAAAAGAATCTCTTTGGGGTTTAGGGTAATCCTGCTTGAATCTGTGGAAATCTCTGCCTCCTTTAATCAAACTTTGGGGATCTATAACTATTATCTTTCTATTATCCATATTCTTTCTCTTGGTTTTCTACCATGTCACTCTGTCTTCTCATATGCCTGGTTAATCTTATTGTATGACATATCTATAATATTGAACAGATGATTTTGAACTTGGGAAAGAGGTTATCATCTTCTAAGAGCCTTCATTCATACTAAGGATGCCAACAATCCCAGATCTGTTCAATCGAATCAGGAGGTACGATTACTTGAAGCTAAGAGTCACTGAGGGCAGATCTGGTTCCTACTCAACTTTACTCTTCAAAAAGAACATTTTTTTCCCAGCACATTTTGCTTTTCTGTTCTAACCCAAAGCCTTGTGTGCACACCAGAACCAGAACAAAATGTTCCTCTTACCTTTGGTGGGGAACATTTTCTCATGGAAGCTTGATTTTTTTTTTTGAGAAATACAACGTACTATATATCGTTAATTCTATTCTTTTTGCTTTTGTTCTTGCAAAATTTTAGCAGCCCCATCTGTGAAAAGTGCAGCTTCTCGTTCATTCCATTCTTCCCCTAAGAAGTCTCCAGTTCACTCACTCCTAACTAGTTCAAATGAAGACTCAGTAGGCTCCGCATCACGTTATAGGCCAACCAAACCTCATTCACCTGCTGATTCTGTTAAAGGTAAGGGTGATAAGATATCGCTAATAAGATCAGCTTCTTTCCTACTCTGGTGAATTGAAAGTTCTTTTTAATAACAGATTTAATGATATATTTACAAGTTCTTGGTATATAATAAAAGTGGGTCTTAAATAGGACAGCTATTGTAGATCTTATACAACTATATTAGGTGAATATTTTTATATGTAAATATATCTTTTTGTTCATGGATGTAAATAATAAACCTTTCCTTTGTTTTATTGTAAGATTTTAGGTGTTCTCTTAAACGCTGCAAGTGGCTATTCTTATTTATATTCTCTCATGGGCCTCTTCAGTCTTTACTGACAAAAGTAAAGGCTGAAAATGAAACACAAACTTAGCTCAGGACCTTGCTGGGCCAGGACCCCTCAAATACAAAGAATGGGCACTCTCACTTGACTCATAGAGCTGGCCCTAAAATGTTCTTTTAAAAAGTTTAAGTGCAAGACAGTTGGGAAAAGTGGTTTGTTTTGGAATAAGTTCTTGATAAAGGTAAAGCCCTCCCGTTGATCGTCGATTTGCTCGAGCGGGCCCAGTAACGTCTCCATTGGAGACTTTGTTGTTACTGTGTCTGGCATATCAAATACTCTCGGTAGCTTGCCGGGCTCTCCGAGAGGGGCGGAGGAATCGAACTCGGGTTGGCCATGTTGACCGCTTGGAAGGCGAACGCCCTACCCGCTGTGCTATCGCTCCAGCCCTAAGTTCTTGATAAATATAAATATATTTTACAAATATATTTATGTAACTTGAAATATTTCTCATCATATGTGATAGTGGCCCAGTGTTATAGGAAAACATTTCCTTTATAAAGGATAACCTAATCAAGTGTTAGCATTAAAAAATAAACTGTCAACTTAATCTTTTGGAATTTATTTATAATGCAGAAGGTAACTTTAAACTTGAAATGTTCTTACTATTCTCATCCCATTTAATACTTTTTAGTTAAGCAGTAGTAAACCAGATTGGGTTTTAAATCAAATCAAGTTTTAAATATGGTCATAGATGAGCATCAGGTTTCTGAATGATCATTGCTGAAGATAATTTGCATGTTTAAAAATTTGAATAAAAATTCTAGAAATATATTTTTGTATGACATAATATTATTCTTGTAATTCCCTTCATTAGGTGTGTTACTTTTTCATCCCCAGAAAAAAATCAAATCAAATATTCTATTATTGAATATTTTGATAAGGCATGTTTTATCCTAATATAGTGTTCTTAGGGGCTGGAGCGATAGCACAGCGGGTAGGGCGTTCGCCTTACACGCGGCCAACATGGCCGACCCGAGTTCGATTCCTCCGCCCCTCTCGGAGAGCCCGGCAAGCTACCGAGAGTATTCGATATGCCAGACACAGTAACAACAAAGTCTCCAATGGAGACGTTACTGGGCCCGCTCAAGCAAACCGACGATCAACGGGAGGGCCTTTACCTTTACCTAGTGTTCTTAAGTTTCTAATTTAAGTTTAACTTGTTAAAAGAAGATTTCTAAAAAGAAATATTAAACAGACTTTTAATATCACAGCTAAGCAATTTTCTAATAGCTTCACAGTCTCAACCAATAGAAACAACAGGGAAAACGTGCAGGAAGCTTCAGAACAGACTAGAAAGCTTACAAACGCTGGTGGAAGACCTACAGATGAAGAACCAAGGTACCTCACACATCTGGAGAGACAACACTTCCCACCCCCCCAATCCCTGCCCCAACCCCATCCCGAATGAATCCACATTCTCCCTATATGACTCCTGGCTGAAAATACTGAATTAGCAATTCAAATATAAGAGTGTAAATCACTATTATCTTTGAGCTCCTTATGCATCCTTAACCAGTTCCATTCTATATTCCTTATCAGTATCCCTCTCATCACCCCCACCCTGACTCTGTGGCAGGGCATTCCCTTTTGCTCTCTCTCTCTCCTTATGGGTGTTATGGTTTGTTTGGCCCCATTTTTATTTACACTTTAATTACATTTCTAAGTTTACCTGAGTAATGCAACCATTTAAGTAAGATGGGGTGTGTGTGTGTGTGTGTGTGTGTGTGTGTGTGTAGTGTGGAACATGAAGCTTTTCAAACTGTTTACAGTGGTGGCCTTTGAGAGGCGGGGCTCAGGATACTGAGTGGATAAGACTGACCTTTGTCTTTATAGCCTTCTGAGGTTTTCAATTATTTACAACTAGTACATATTACTTTTACAATAATAGTTATTGTGCTCATTTGAAAATGATGGAAAGAGTAGAAAATTATCATTAGGGTTTTTTTTCCATCATAAGTCTTAAAAGAAATGCTTTTGTACTTTGCAATTTTTAAATTCAGAAAATATTCGATAGCAGCAAGCTGATTTTTTAAAAAAACATATAATAGAATTTAAGGCCTGAGGAAAAGATGCTGTCTTAACTTTGTTTTATCAAAAATTTCAGCAATGTCTTCAATGATCAGAAATCAAGAAAAGAGGATACAGAAAGTGAAAGACCAGGAAAAAATGTTATTAAAATGATACTTTGCTTGCCTATCCTTTGCAGAGGAATGATGCCCAATTAATTGTGATGTACTTTAATTAGTGCTCAATGTACTTTTTTCTTTGTATGTGAAAATTTAATAAAAGATAATCTGTAAAATATCTTGAAATATGCTATGTTTCAATGTTCTCACAGTCAAGCTTCAAATAGTACTAGCTAGAGATAAAGGTATTCATACTTTGGGTATTAGTTTATGATAATACCAATGCGGTGGAATAATCCCATTTTTTAAACATGCATATGAATGTTTAGTTTTCATGGCTATTTTTTTCTCATTCTAGTCACTTTTATATGACTCACAGTTATAGTCATGTGTTTTTTTTTTCCCAACTCAAAAACATCGGTGTGGGGAAAAAACTTCTTGCATACGAAAGTGAAAAATGGGATGGAGCGTCCAGAACAGAGCAGGACAAACTCCAAACTGATGGGGACACTGTGTGTGACCCTGAAGGCACTGTTTGTCCTGTCAACAGCAGGGAAATTATTCAGAAAACAAACCCCAGGCTCCCCTAATCAAAGTTCTCAGGAAATTCTCTTTTCCCCATATTAATGGTTGAAATAAAAGGGGTGAAAAATGACGTTTTTCTCCAGCTAGTGGATCACTTCAACAGTTTGAATGGATGCAGCCTGTTTAGTAAGCCTTGGATCAATTGAGTGAAGGGGATTCTCTCTGGAGCACTTTCCAACAGTTCTCGATATCCTAAAGTCAATTCCATTCTGACACTATTTGACGTTTGACTATTGGACATTACCGTCATATTCTACATGGCTTAGGGCTCATGATTACAGCTCCCCTCCCCGATTACCACCACTTCAGATACAGAAATGAAACCATGCCAAAGATAACAGAGGCTGTTGGGCAGAAACTCACTGCCCAAACGTCTGCATTCCAGTTCCATAGTCCAGATGTCACTGAGAAATGGCCCATCTAGAAGCTGTTTCCAGGCCCACTGCCCCTCACATCCAGTTGTGGTCAAATTTTAGCAAGCATGTGAGATCCCTGAATAACCTCAGGATAGGAATTAATCGCTATTAATTGCTTCTCAGTCTTTGGGCTAAGATCAAGTGTGTACCTAAGCTCCAAATGGGTCGAGCATCATTCTCTACGCCCTTCCTAGTAGTGTTGCAGTTATATTTATGCCCTTCAACAGAAAAGAACCAGAATAAAAGTCTGACAAAAACATTTTATTCTTATTAAAAGTTACCTTCAAAAAAATAAAAAAAAAAAAGTTACCTTAATGTGTAAGAATTTCAGAACAGGGGGTCTGAGAGAAACAACAGGCAGAGCATTTGCCTTGCATACGTCTGACCTTGGTGTGTACCTTCCCTGACACCCCATGTGGTCACCTGAGCCCCCCACCAGGAGTGATCTGTGATTACAGGACAAGGAGCAAGTCCTGAGCATCGCTGAATATGGCACAAAAACAAACAAACAAAATTCCAGAAAGGCACGCATAACGCCACAGAGGCAACAAAGACCAAGAAGATGTTGGCATACTCTGCTGTGCTCTGAAGGGGAAAAACAGACTTCTCTCTCTCAGTGTCTGTTTCCTGGCTCTGCTATTAATGGAAGAAATAATCCGTATTTTGCATATAAGCAATTACAGCCCCATGATGCAGACAAATAATTCAGACATCCAGTCAGTATGTTAAAATTCAGGATTTACTAGGTTTTCAGATATAACAATTATTCAGTGTTTTTCTTCTTCATACAAAGATATATTCTGATATCACTGTGTTAGCATAATTTTGTTATCCCAGAAAAGGAGGTGGTGGGAAAGAAGAGAGAGACTCTCAGCTAACAGCCCTGAGATAGTCTTCGGTCCACCCAGCACGGGCGCATGAGAGCAGAGCCAGCTGGACAGAGGCCCAGTGAGTAAATGACAGGTCGCCCCCACCCCCCCATGACCAGGCTTTAGCTTCACCTCCGAGCCCCCTTCAAGGTCACTCCAGCCCCCTTGCTCAGCTCACACCTTCCCTTCATTCCTGCTCCCTGTCCTCGTGGAATGGCCCCAATGGCAGATTTCTTTCTTTCTTTCTTTCTTTCTTTCTTTCTTTCTTTTTTTTTTCTTTTTTTTTTTTTTTTTTTTGCTTTTTGAGTCACACCCGGAGATGCACAGGGATTACTCCTGGCAGTGCTCAGGGGACCATATGGGATGCTGGGAATCGAACCTGGGTTGGCCGCGTGCAAGGCAAACACCCTACCCGCTGTGCTATCGCTCCAGCCCCAATGGCAGATTTTGATCTGATTCCTTGTTTCTTCACCAGCCTCCAGTCATTAAAACAAAGACACGCTTACTACTTTCAAGCCACACTTGACATCCTTGCTCCCTTTAAGCCACACTTGACAGGTAAAATCAAGCAAGAAAGAAGCTTTAGGAGGCCTTAAGCTACTACCTCAAATTATTTTTTTTTAACTTTTTTTTGGTCACACTCGGCAATGCACAGGGGTTACTCCTGGCTCTGCACTCAGGATTACTCCTGGCAGAGATCGGGGGTCCGTATGGGATGCTAGGAATTGAACCCGGGTCACCCGCGTGCAAGGCAAATGCCCTACCCGCTGTGCTATCACTCCAGCCCCACTACCTCAACTTCTTGATCATATCTAATGACCTTCTAGTTCCGACTGGTGTGAAATATCCCTACACATAAGTGCGCATGCAGTAAGGAAAGGACACTTCCGCACTGCCCCCCATTGGAAACCGGCCCTTTCTCATATAGGCTTGTTTGAAGCCTGGTGTAAGGGTCACCCAGAAGCTCCAGCTTGAAGCCAGTCCTGCTGGCGGGTTTCCTTTCCATGCTCCCCGACCAGTTCACACCGGAGCTTGGCTAGGTTGCTCCCCAAAAGGACCTAGCCCTAAAGTATGGATCATCATTAACCTATCGTCAGTGCTGCAGGGGAGAAGCCCACGCTCACAGGACACATCAGAAGTCACTTGTTCCCTCCACATGCAGTTACATTTCCTGTATTTTCCATCAGCGCCATACAGTGGAACGGAAGTGGCAAGTTGTAGTGGCAGCCTCAGCCCCTCCAGCCCACTCCCGTCTTACCTGGCAGACCCCCCCAATCAGTGGATCCCCCACCACTTGTGAACCACTTTATCCTCAAAGCCACTCTCTAAGAATCGGTTGCTGCATTCTTCCCAGCGGGTAACGCGCCCGTTCTCCACCACCACAAACTTCCACTCCACCCCCGTGTCTGCGGGCAGTGACACGGATCGAGACCAGAGGCCGTCCTGGCTAGCCTGGAGTGGGACATACGTGTTCCACTTCCCGAGACTCTCGTGGTCTCCAGTTACTGCGAGGGCTTGCGTGTCAGTGCTGGGGATATAATGGGTCTGGAAGCGGACACTAACCCGCTCAGGCCCTGGGGACACAGCAACTACCCTTTCTGTTTTCACCACCTCTGCCTGATCCTTGGCTTCCACGAGGACGTCGCTGCCATAGTCCATTCCCTCGTTCGGGGTTACCACAAAAGCCTCAAGACTGCCACCCAGACCAATCTCTCCCCAGGACGAGTGCCGAGACACCACTTCCCAGTCCTCAGCGTCGGCTGAGTCCTGACTGTCCAGCCGTGCCAGGCCGGCTGCATTTGCTCTGTCCACACCAGGCAACTTCTCTACGAAACAAGGACTTGCTTTCATCACTGTGTCTTGTCCTTTGTGGAAGCCCCGTTCCCCTAGTGAAGAGTCCAGGGAACTCCTAGCGTTCCCCACCTCATGAGCCAGTGAGTCAGGGTCTGGAACCCAGCCCGAGGGAACACGCTCTCTCGAACCCTCACAGTCCTTTCCAGAAGGATTCTGCAGTTGGCTTGCTCCTCCCTTGCTAGGTCCTCGGGGCTCTGAGTCCAAACGCTCACTGCCTCCTTGGAGATGGTCTAAAAATCAAAAGGGAAACAAATATATTACATAATTGTGTTCAGCAAGTCAAATGAGAAGAATAAGTTAGGCTGAGAAAATTGGTTTAGTCATTAAAGACAACTAAATCTCTTGGCAGTACATAAAATCCGTCTCCGTGAACATGTTGATGTGGACTTGAGACACATATTAAACCGCATGTAAGTGTGAGCCACTGGTATCAATGTGTTCAAATCAACTAAATATACTTAGGAAAATCCCAAATCTGCAGGTATAACCACTGATAAATGGCACCCCCAAAGTGTGGGTGGATCAGTGGAATGGAAGTGGCAAGTTGTAGTGGCAGGGATATGAGCTTCACAGCCACACTACAGTAAAAGCTAACACTGGCATGGAACCAAACCAAGTTCCTTGACTCCCTTCGCCCCAAAGTGTACAGTTTGTCCAGACTGTGTGACCCAGGGCTGCCTGCCTACAACAAACAGCACTGTGCCCCCAGCACTGAGGATGTGGGCAGACCAGCGGCCAAGGCTCCTGGCTGAGAGCTGGGCAGGAGGGTGGGGAGACAGGATATGTTTGTCCTAAGAACCTCTTCCACAGACTACAGGCCTTTCTTATTGGCCCACATGGACTCCTTTCAATATGTTCCTCAAGAGGTTGGAGAGAGGGGCTGGAGCAATAGCACAGCAAGTAGGGCATTTGCCTTGCAAGCGGCCGACCTGGGTTCGATTCCCACCATCCCATATGGTCCCCTGAGCACCGCCAGGAGTAATTCCTGAGTCAGGAGTAACCCCTGTGCATTGCGGGTGTGACCTCCTCCCCCCCCCCCAAAAAAAAGAGGTTGGAGAAACACAGCTAAGGGGTTTGCATTGCCCGGGTCTGAACTGGGTTCTGAACCCAGCACCACATTCTGGCTCTTTGAGCTCTGCCAAGAATGATCCCTGAGCACAGAGCTAGGACTGAAAGCCCCGGGCACTTCCTGGTGCGGCCCAAAAACCATAAAGAAAACTGTTCAAATACAAAGCGGGAGCTCCTTCTTGGACAGCTCCCTGAGAGGCCGACAGTTCCCGAGGAAACCCCCATCCAAAGCCACACACTCAGCACCTTGTTCCAAAATCACAAACTCGGTCTTGTTCTTGGAAGTGGCAGTGACAGTCCCCGTTAGTTTTGTCTCTAATGACGGGTAACAAGAGAGGCCCGTTACTCTGAATTCCCAGCCTTGGAAGGAAAGCATGAGGTCAGCTGCCAGGAAAAGGAACAGCTAGAAGCGATCACCCCTCAAGATAGCGGGGCCCTGGGGCAGACCCTCCAGGGGCTGCCGGGGAACATCACTGAGCTAAAAATAAAGTCCACAGATGGCATTTTGTCCCTTAGCTGGAGGGGACAGTTGGCACAGGGTACTGCTGCGGTCCCTCCTGCCCTGGTGCAGAATCCCTGATGCACTTCTCACTGGAACTGAGTCCAGTCAAGTCCCTTAAATTCGTCTCTTTTTTTTGTTTGTTTGTTTTTTCTTTTTGGGTCACACCCGGCGATACACAGGGGTTACTCCTGGCTCTGCACACAGAAATTACTCCTGGCGCTGCTCAGGGAACCATATGGGATGCTGGGAATCGAACCCAGGTCAGCCGCGTGCAAGGCAAACGCCCTACCCACTGTGCTATCGCTGTAGCCCCTTAAATTCGTCTCTTCCCCAGGCTGAGACATCTCAGAAAGGGTGAACCTGGGGCGGAGCTGAAAGGTCCAGAGTGTGGGTGGCCCTCGGGGAGGGGGGGGGGGATGTGGGGGGGGGGGGCACTGGGCCCTCTGCCAAGGCCTTTCTGACCAAAGTCCTAGCTGAACTTCGCGTCCAAACAGCGGGTGTCCCCAAACTCCCAAATTTTCCTCGGGCTGGGCTGGGCGGAGAGGGGCATGTGAGGGGGGCGTGGAAACGGGTCCGGGACCCTGTCCGCCGGGACTGAAGGGCAGGACGAACGCCCTAGCCCGAAACTCGCCCCTCACGTCCAGGCTGCTCAGCGGGGAGCCCGGGGGCGGGGGGCGCTGAGGATTGGCCAGGAGGGCCAGTCTGGGCCTCGGTGCCAGAAGAAAAAAACACCCCGCCCAGGGCTGGAGAAGAGGGCCGTGGGGGGGGGGGGGGAGGGGGTGTCCTGGACCTGGAGGGAATGGGGACGCCGGGAGAGCTCAGGGTGGGCACCGCACACGTGCCTTCGAGGGACCATACCTGGCTTGCTGTCCAGCTGCCCCTTGCAAGGTCCCGGGCTCCGGGGGTCGCCACCTCCCGGCGCCGCAGCCTTCCCGGGGGGCGCGTCCTGCTCCATCTCCGCGCGCCCCGCGTCGTCCCCGCCCCGTAGCAGCCAGACGACCAGCGCCCCGGCCAGACCCCCTCCGACCAGCAGGGCGGACCAGACGGCGCCCATGGCCCCGGGGCCACCGCCGCAGGGAGCGCCAGCCCCAGACTCCGCCGTCCCCGCCCGCCCTGGCCTTTTACGCGCCCCGGCCGGCCCGGCCCCCTGCTAGCCCCGCCCCGGGTGCGGGACACCCCTGCGCAGGGTCCGAGCGCGCCCAGCCGCCCCCCGCCGGTGCACTAGAGGGCTGGGCAAAGACCCGAGCAGCTGCCAGCGCCAGTCCGTCAGCCTTCTTGCCCGTTGGGAACTTGGTGGTTGCCAAACGCGCGCGCGCTCGCCTGCACCGACGGGTTAATAAGCAAACGCGCAACCCTCTGTTCCGCGCTGGCGTGCCAGCCTGGTGTGCCAGCCTGGCGTTTCACTGCACAGAACCGTCCGCGTCTCTAAGTGGCCTCCTCTGTTGGTTTGATGGCTTCGCAGCCCAATTTAACGCTCACGATGCACCCCCTACCTACTGCAGAGTGAGACTCTCCTTGAAGTTATGCACTTTTTCCTCCCTTTTTTTGGCGGGGTGAGGGGGGGTCTCACCCGATGGTGCTCAGGACTTACTCCTGGCTCTGTCCTAGGGTGCCCGTGGCTCAAAGCGGGTCGGCGGCCTGCTCCACTACCTCCCGCAAAGAACGTCCTGGCTGAACTCTCTAAGGCTGCGAGATTATCCCTGACTTAGTCCTCACAGTGCAGCCTCCAGCGCGTCAGCGCCTGTCTGCTGGATCAAAGTTGACCCCGATACTTTTCTCCCACGCATTCTTTCCCCCGGTAGCAGGAAAGAGTTTGGGTCACACCCGAACGTGCTCAGGGCTTTCCTGGCTTTTGCTCAGGGATCACTCTAGGCAGGGCAGGGCTCTAGAGCTATATGAAGTGCCCAGGATGTCTGGCCACCCACGTGTCAAGGCAAAGTCTTACCTGCTGTACTATCTCTCCTGACTCCTTTTCCCACTGTCTAATTTGTTTTTTAAACATTATCACCTCATTTTTATTTTTATATTTTTAAATTTTTATTAGCGAGACACCATGAGGTACAGTTGTAGACTTACAAATTTCTGTGCTTGGGTTTCAATTATACAATGATCAAATACCCATCCCTCCACCAGTGACCATTTCCCACCACCACGGATCCCAGTATCTCTCCCACCCCCCCCATCCCCCCCTTCTTACCCTGCCTCTGTGGCAGGGCATTCCCTTTTGTTCTCTCTCCTATTGGGTGTTGTGGTTTGCAAAAGAGGCAATGGGTGACACTCATGTTTGGTCTATAGTCTACTTTCAGCATGCTTCTCCCATCCTGGGAGGCTCCTCCCAACACCTTCATTTGGTGCTCCCTTCTCTATCTGAGCTCCCTTTTCCCCTAGCATGTGTGGCTGGCCTCCAAGCCATGGAGTAAAATTCCTGGTACTAATCTCAGCCATTCTTGGGTGTTAGTCTCCTATTTTGTTACTTTATGTTCCCCAGATGAATGCAATCTTTCTATGTCTATCCCTTTCTTTCTGAGTCATTTTGCTTAACATGATACTTTCCATGTAGTACCACTTGTATGTAAATTTCATGACTTCCATCTTTTCTAACAGCTATATAGTACTCCATTGTGTAAATGTACTAAAGTTTCTTTAACCAGTCATCTGTTCTCGGGCACTCAGTTTTTTTCCAGATCTGGCTAATGTAAAAAAATTGTTTTTAAATTTGTATTTGTACTTCGGCACCGTGATTTACAAAGCTTTTAATAACAGCATTTGGGACATTCACTGTCTCCAAACTCACCCCTAAGTGTCAACTTTCCCTCCAATATTCCCCACTCTCTCCACTCTGCCTCTTTATCAAAGTCATTTTTAAATGTTGCCTATTGTAGTTTGGGCCACATGGTTACAATAACGTTTACTTATTATTGTTTTGGTTTGGGGGGGTCACACACTCAATGCTCAGGATTTACTCAGGGATTCTCTCCTGGTGTTGCTCAGGGGACCACATAGGATGCTGCGGATTGAACCAGGTGGGCGGCATGCAAGGCAAGCCCCCGTCCCACTGTACTGTCTCTCCAGCCCCAACTTATGGTTTTTACCTACATAATTACCTCACCTCTAAACCATCTAGTGTCTAGGAGCCTTGGCCCTTATGAAATCACCAGTCTGCCTTCTCTTTTCCTGCCCTGATTCCCTGCCCACTGGCATTTGCTTAACTTTCAAGGTCTCTAGGACACAGCTCCATGAGCTTTTCCAGAACTTTCTCCAGCCATTACTTGTACTCAGATCCCCTGGTGTTCTCTCACCGGAACCTTCACTCACTCATGTCTATAGATTTCCTAAAAGTCACTTACCATGAAACTTTTTACCCAGAGATCTATCCTTCATCTCACCTCCAGCCCGTGTATTGAAATGTCTTCTTTCCTTTTGAACTCTGAGCACATACTTTATAAAAGCGAATATGAAGGGCGTTCGCCTTACAAGCGGCCAACATGGCCGACCCGAGTTCGATTCCTCCGCCCCTCTCGGAGAGCCCGGCAAGCTACCGAGAGTATTCGATATGCCAGACACAGTAACAACAAAGTCTCCAATGGAGACGTTACTGGGCCCGCTCGAGCAAATCGACGATCAACGGGAGGGCCTTTACCTTTACCTTTTATGAACTCATCTCAACTATAATTTTGCTTTGGATTGACCTCAGTCCTCTCTAAGATACAGATTCCTTGAGAACTTCTTCCTTGGAATCCTTTGGGTGCCATGTGTAACACCTAATACCTTTCGATTTATTGCTTCTTTTCATTGAGTGCCTAATATTTATTGAGTATCTACTGCTGTCCCTACGCCAAATGCCTTATAAGGATGAGCTCACCTAATGCCTTCAGAGGAGTCATCTTAAGGCATTATAACATCAAAACAAGTCACAGAGCTGATGAGTGATGGCGCTGGGATTTGAACCCAGTACTCTGACCTTCCAGGACCCATGCCCCGAAACTGATGACACTGAAACCTAATGGCTATTAAATCTTGTTGAAATTTCAAAGCTTAAATCTTGAAACAAGTATGCAAGTTTGGATGTGGAACGCCAGAGGATTCCCCCTTGGATTCACCATAACTGTTGTCATTCCAACAGTTATGGTGAATTTCAACCTGACTTGGTTTGTCATTTCTCTTTGTGTAAGCCCTGGCCTTGGGGAAACATAGCCACCAACAGCAGCAGCTGTTTATAACTCTCAAGCCTCCAAGTCCAGCTTCTCCATATAATGTTAACTAACAAATGCAACCTTCCTGCAATGCAGTCACATTGGACCTGCCAGTTTCTAACTGCGATCACTCGAAATCCTCTGACTCATCTTGGGTCCAAAATAGACTTAGGGTTGGGATCTCTTACACTATAAGATGAAACCTTTAGCAGGAAGGAATATCTGTGTTGGGATAATTAGTTCATTACAGAGAGAAAGATAAAGTTAGATTACTTTGTATCACAGACGATGGTAGATTTTTTTTTATAATTTATTTCTTTATTGAATCACTGTGGAAAAGTTACAGAGCTTTCGGGTTTAGGTCTCAGTCATGTAAATATCAAACACATTTCCCTTTACCAATACTTATTTTTAACGCAAACCCCAATAGAACCCCACCTCCCACCCCTCCCAATTCCTGTGAGGCAGATGAGTTCTAGTTAATACTCTATCTACTTTGACTAGATACATTGATTCGATAGAAGATGCACAATTATTGTTTAGAGTTTACGACCCCCCCTCCAATCAGACATGGTAAAACAGCGTTGTGAAATGATTTGCTTCCTACAGCTGGGTTTAAGAATAAAATGATGGTTTTGGATTTCTGCTATTTTACTTATTAACCCTGGAAGTATTTCTATTAAAAGTTAGATAGTTAAGAGATTGGTTTCTGTGCTCTGGAGTCATGGCCGTGCCGGAGAGCCACTCGTGGGGGGCAGCTGGTGACCTCGGTCGGGCATGAAGGACGGACCAGAATGCCCCCCTTCCCATGAGGTCCCTGCCGCCCCCACCCCCGGCTCAAACCTGCTGTCCACCAGGCTCCCCTGCGGCCGCCATCTTTCTTTCCAGAGAGGATTGGGCGAATGGAGCAACACCCTTTCCCCTCCAGGCAGGCATGCTGGTGCGGTGTTAGGTAAATATTTCAGTTACAATACTAGTAGAACAAAATTCCAGAGACTTTCCTGGTAATATTATACAAGAACTGAACTGTCCTCTCGTCGTTCATTGATTTGCTCCAGCGGGGCCAGTAACGTCTCCATTTTGATTTTGAGACTTGTTGTTACTGTGTTTGGCATATCGAATACATCATGGGTTTCTTGGCAGGCTTTGCCGTGCGGGCAAGATACTCTCGGTAGCTTGCCGGGCTTTCCAAGAGGGGCGGAGGAATCGAACCTGGCTGGGTTGGGCTGGCTGCACGCAAGGCAAACACCCTACGACTGTGCTATCGCTCCAGCCCCTGGAGCTCTCTTATATTACATAAGAGAAAGAAAACATACACCTTGACTTCATCAAATTAAGGTCAACTGATTAATGAAGGGTACTTTAGAGAAATTAGAAAAAAATAGCAGATAAATCAAGATAGGGAGAAAGTATCTGTGTTGTTAAAACTGATAAGGGAGTAAAATGTGGACACATAACTAATAGATTCTGACAAGCTGACGAGACATGAGACCCAATACAAAATGAGCAGGTGGTGCTTTTTCTCAATGCGTAGGATATACCTCGAACATAATAGGCACTCATTAGTTTTGGGATGGATAAGATGCAGAAGTGTGCTCTGGGCGCTATCTTAGTGCACCAAAAGCCCTGGTCTAGAGACTCCCAGTTGAATCCCAAAATGGATTAGTGCCCTACAAAGATGTCTCTGGAACTGAACCATTTACAATCTTAAAATTCCAGAAGTGCGTGGCCTCTCATGGTATTCAAAATGAGCAATGGAAAATAAATTATTTAGCGTATGCCCCTGGCAGGCAGGTTTGAAGGTTTGAATGGTGGTGGGAAAATTTGAAGGAACTATAATGCCACAAAGTAGAGAGAGAGTATGGGGGAAATTGTCTGCCATAAAG